ATACTACTCTTCTTGTGTTTGCTGTTGGACCTTTACCGAGGCCGGTCTACAAATTCCTGATCTGTGGGGTGGGATGTTTCGAAGTAAAATAGCTTTGAACAGGCCGCAGAAGGATAAAAACAAACACGCCAGTAGCTGCTCTGCGATGTTGGACACACCGCAACTCGAAGGGTGAACCTCAATGCATGTCGAGAACTGTCTATGCGCAGACTTCCCAAGTCAGGTCCGCATGGGGGAAGGTGTCATCACATATCAGCTTTAATGAGGGCGTCGCTTGATTCATGTCGTGGATCAGCTGCTGCAGTTGTGCCAGCCACTGCCGTGCGTCCTGGACTGAAGTGCTGCGCACTTGCACTAAGGCTTATCACTAAGGACCACGCCTTCCAGCTCTTGCTGCGCTCCGATTATGTGCGGCGCTGAACTGTTGATGTATGTGACTCTTGTCGTCACCGTCAGTTTCCCATTGCGCGAACGGTGGCGCGTCTTGCGATAGTTTGTCGAGCAGGTGAATGAAATATGTACCATCAGGCATGTTATGTCCTTGCCACATCCCACCGGCCAAACCCAGCGCTGCTCCCACCGGTCAAACCCAGCGCTGCTCCTGCTTTCGGAGGCACTGTGACGGCACTTCTTGCACCAACCTCGACAAGCAAAAACAAGAACTTCCGGGGCAGGAACGCGGCACAGGCTCAGTAGAGACACATTGATACGCCGGAATGTGGAGAGTCATGCGTACCGACGAAGGCTTAAACGTGTCGAATGGCGCGCGGACTTTCCTAAATGAACACTCTGGAGACAAGCGGGAGCAATCTGAGCTCACTGCTGGCATAGCAATTTCGTATGTACAAGGCATTGCAGGATCGCATTCAGGTAGCAAGTGTTGCCCTGCCACTGCTCCGAACTGGGAGCTCTCCCAGAAGCAAAAACAAACAACGCTGAAAGGAGCTGTGCGGCTGCGCTTCGCTGCCTGGTTCCGCAAGCCCGTCACAGGCGGCGGCAAGGCCTGCTGCCTCGGCACTTGAAAGCCTTAAAGCTCAATCTCATGTTCAACTCGGAGGTCCGGAACTTAAACCTAAAAGTTCTGGGTGTTCGTCGCGAGAAGTCTGTAGCCAGGGGGCAACCAGCTGCCATTTTGCAGCTGCTGCCTCAGTTGCTGTCAGCAACGCTCACGATACTGCATTAACACCTTTTTCCAGTCATGCGGCCGGAAGTGACTCCCGCAAAGAAGCCACTTAACCTGCGCGAATGATCAGAGCTTGACGCATCTGCACGAGCTCAATGCAGGGAAATACTTGTCGTCAACACCCACTTAAATACAGTACAGAACACAGCAGAACCTGGCACAAGAGTACAGAAAGATACAGACATATACTAAAGCATACAGACACATACAGGCAAACACCTGAAGACATACACACACTCATCCATCCATCAATCCATCCATCCATCCATCCATCCATCCATCCACCACGCATCCGTCCATCCGTCCATCCGTCCATTCGTCCATCCGTCCATCAGTCCATCCGCCAATCCGCCCATCCGCCCTCCACCCATCCCCCCATCCACTCGTCCACCCGTCCACCCGTCCACCCATCCACCCATCCACCCACCCACCCATCCGCCACCCATCCGCCCCATCCGCCCATCCACCAACCCAGCACCCATGCACCCATGCACCCATGCACCCGTGCACCCATGCACCCATGCACCCATGCACCCATGCACCCGCGCACCCACTCACCCACGCACCCACGCACCCACACATCCACGCACCCACGCACCCACGCACCCACGCACCCACGCACCCACGCACCCATGCACCCATGCACCCATGCACCCATGCACCCATGCACCCATGCACCCATGCGCAACACACATACATCCATACAGACATACATACCTCCTACTTACCTACCTGCATACTTACTTACATACACACATAAACATACATAAACATACATAAGCAGACATAAGCATGCATAAACACACATAAACATACACACAAATACATACATACAAATATACATACCTACGTACATACGGACGGACAGACAGACATACAGACATTCAGACATACGTACATACGGACACTCATACACACACATACACATACACCTACACCTACACATGCACATGCACATGCATGTACAGATACACATACACATATGCATGCATACAAACGTCGAGACAGACACAAATAGGCGTCCACACGTGCTTGTCACTCATGTTTCATCTGTCTGCCTGCCTGTGTGGTTGTATGGAATGCAGGCATGTGTGCTTGCAATGTTGATGTGCATCACATGTGCGTTGATGCTTTTGAACACGTTGGTGCATGTCTGTATCTGTACGCATATGCTTCGCGCAAATGTATCTGTACATGTCAGTATGTATCATGTGGCACAGCAACTGCGGGGTGTCGCGATTTGCAGCATGCAAAGTTTGACCTGAATGCAGCAAGTCCTCCGCTTAGCTGGCTGGCCTCTCTGCTCCTCTTCGTCCTCTCTCTGATCTCTCTGCAGGTCTTTTTGTGCACCTGCACGGATGCACACTGTCACAGCTCCTGTAAGAGAAGTGCCGGAAGTTCTGCCGGCAGATGCATGTCATCGCTAATGTGCAAAACTTTTCCGCCACGCAGCCGCTCCATAAAGCTGCCATGGGCCTGCAATCAAAGAAACGGACTTGAAATGTGCCGTCCAAATCGAGTCAGGGACACTGCAAGCTATGCTCAACATATCTGCATGCGGACGAGGTTTTTTCAGACTGATTCACCCCGCGAGGGAACCGGAATCGAAAAATGATTTCAGCTACTTGCCCCACTGCCGCACTTGTCGTACTGAGCTACTTGCCCCGGTCGCGAATGCCCTCCTGCCCCACCCCACCTGACCTTAAAAGCTGAACCCTAAACCGCAAACCCCAAACCCTAAAACCCTAAGACCCTAAACCCCCAAAGCCCCGAAAAACTAACTGAGGGCGGGCGGAGGGTGGGCGCCGCTACGTAAGGCCGATGAGTACGCCAGCCGCCTCTACACAGCCAGAGACTTGCGGAGACCGTAGCACCCAAGTCGGACCAAGAGGAAAACGTTCTTCCACCGATAAAGTCACGATTACCCTAAATCCCAAGCTCTGCACCAAGGGCTCGGCCACATGTCCGCTGGGTTTCTAAAGTTTCTATGTGGCTTCTGGGCGCTTGAGGTCTGGCCTCTGGGGGCCGCGGCGGAGCACCTTGCGAATGCAAAAGGAAAGCACATGAGTTGTGGAGTTTGTCGGCCCTTTTCGGCATGAGGTGGGAGGAAGGAAAGCCTTGGCTTTGACAGCTCAGTTCGATGGTCGGAAGGTAGGAGGCGCGCAGATCAAGAGTTGCTCAGGCCTGGCCCCGGCCAGTGCAGGGAAGCGCCTTCGATTGTCGGATCTCTCGCTCGAGGTTGCTTGCCTCCCTGCCGCAACCGACTCATTGCACTTGTGTCCGCTAGGGCGGTCATCGCCTGCTCTTGCTTACCGTCGGCCGGTTCCATCATGAATCATTCCATTGCCTGCGACCCTGGGAGTCACATGAAGTCTCTATGGTTTATCGCCCCACTTGTGCCACTTTTCCCCTTGTGCTGTGGATAAATTAACGTTCGCAAATGGGGCGCCCCACATGCTACAGTTGATTCAGCTGAAGGTTGGTGGTTTAGGAATTTTCGGGTTTTAGCCTGACGTTTTAAGGCTTTGAGGCTTCAGGGTTTAGGGTTTCACGGTTGAGGGTTTAGGGACTTTGGATTTTAGGGTTTCAGGTTTAGGGTTTAGGTTCCAGGGTTTGCCGTGGAAGAGCGCTTAAGTGACAGGATCTTGTGACAAGGTCGTGTTGAGTGCATCATAGTGATGTCTCTGTGTTGTGTCCTTTTCAGGCGATCCAATAATGCCGAAAGACTCGTAAGTCTGGGAGGGCTGTGCGAGGTCATTGCCGACCTTCCTTGTCACCTTTGCCAAAGAGAAGAAATCATCGATAACAAGGCCGTCGTGGACTTGAGACTGCTGAAAGGAATTACCGCCTTGAATCCTGGTGGCTCAGCCTCCTACAACAAAAAAGGGTGTGCGCTGCAAGCAAACAAATGATCACCCTGAAGGACTGAAGCAAAGCAGGCCTAAAAAGCCGAGGGAAGCTCCCTGTCAGCCTGTATCTGCGGGGCAGGGAAAGCCTGTTCGTGGAAGCCCGGCTTGCGCCACTGACACTTGATGATAAAAATCGTCAGCAACGCCAACGGCGTTGCAAGGCGGCTCTAGGATCGAAGTGCAAGCTGATCAGATTTTCGCCGCTTCAGGGAGACATCGATGGCCCAGAGATCCTCCCCTCCACCGAGTTCCTTGCCCTCCGGTCTCCAATCTAAAGGTCTTAGAGTCTTTGGTCTCGCTAAAGGAAAGAGAACCAACGCCGGGCGGGCCGCACCGGCTAACTTGCGAAGGCCGTGCACGAACAAAAAAACAATCCCTGAACGACAAATGGTCCTGAGGGCGCCAGCGAGAGCGATAGGTAGGAGGGCCTTTGGGGCCGGAAGAGCGTGCAGGTTGGCGTGCATATTCCGAGTGGCCGCTTTTCTGTTTTTATGGTCCAGCGATAGCCGACACTGCCCCACTGGACCACTTCAACACTGAGCACGAATGGATTTGGGAGTTCAGGCTTGCTCGCCGGGTTCGGGGAAACGATGTAATCCAGCTCCCAGCGACGCAACACTCCTTTTGTTGGCTCTGAAGCTGATGCGAGCTGCACATGACTATGTGGCTGCGGGAACTTGCCGTGGAAGCACAAGAGGCTGCCTGGTGATCCTGTTTCCTTTGATCCTAGGCGGCCCACCAGTACGCAGACAGAAGGCGACAGAAGCATCGGACGCAAAGGTACATATGATGAATGTGAAGAATACAGATGAACACAGGCCTCGACAGTTGCCTTACGGCCGTATAAAGTGTCCAAAGACAAGGGCCACAAAGCCTGAACCTTCTGGAGGCCACACCCTTTGGTAACCTCACGCCTCCTGTGTGACTCGCGACTCCGGGACTACCTGGCAGGGAATTCTTCACTTCTAGGCACAGCGACATCTACTTATCTACTTCTCGAGCCTTGGCTGCAGCAGATGGACTTTGCGCGGCCGCATTGGCAGCATCTGCAAGCCACTTTGCTGCTTGCCCGATGCCTGAAACAGGAGGAGACTGACGTGGGAAAGTTGGAGCGCCGTCCTGCCTGAAACTGCTTGGAACACGGCATGCCTTGATCACTTGGGTGCTGCAGTTTTTGCTGGATGGCTGTGATGCAGCTTAGCGGCTGCAGCATCTGATGACACGGGTTCACCACAGCTACAAGAACATGAGCGCCGGCAGCAGCCTTTTGGAACACTGCTCCTGCCTAGGCTCAAGTCTGCTCCGCTCTGCTGCTCTGCTCCGCTCCCTCCGTGAGCTACGGACAAAGGAGGTGACGACCACACCGATTCCTCGACCAAGCATCCTGCAGCAACTCACGGTTGAATTCGCTATTGTTCCATGCCGTTGTGCGACATGTTGGGCGGGCAAGCTGGATAGTGACAGATCATGCCCGTCCGAAAATAACATTTCAGCGGGCTTTGCTGAGCAAGAAACGACACGCGAGACCATCCTTGAACAGATCCTTGCAGCTTTGCTCGCAAAGCCGTGACACAAGTACACACACAGGAGCTGGTGATTCCTACAATGGCAGCAACATGTTCTTCGTTGTCTTCATTCGCAAAGGTTTGTGCATGCACGTGTGCAGGAACCACAGTGTGCCCAATCGAAAGATGCTCCCAAATAAAATGACATACGCGAACGATGTGCCGCACCTTGTCGAGCCTCCGACAGCATGAGATATGGCTTGGGCAACCAAAGCAGTTCGCCTCAAGAGCAGAAAAGCTGTGCAGCCGTCCTCCAGGCTCCAGCTCTTTACCCTGTCACTGCATTGCCTAACTCCATCTTGAGGTCCACGAAAAGCCTCAGAGGCCGAAGACTAGCCCACTAAGCAGACTAGAATGGGCTTCGGCACGTCAGCTCAAGCACTAGCGCCACTAGCATGTCAGAAACAAGGCCTTGCTGACGCCATCCTCGACCCCCTGATACTACAGGCATTGCACACACAAAGAATTCTCAGCGATCAGCCAACAACCATGCGAGGCGCGCCCCACGACCCAGTAGAAATGCCATCAGGCCCAAGAGTAGAGCAAGAAGGGTCATGGCCTGGGATGCGTACCGATGCATCGCCACACTCATGCGAAACCTGATGCAGCTCTGGGATCCAAGCTACCAGCACAGCTGCAACGATCCGACGGTCGTGTGACTTCATCTTCAACACTGATGCCTGCGCCACTCTGAGCATTGATTTTCGCTCGTGTCGGCAAGCCACAAACCCAAAAGAAACCAGATAGCCAGCACCTCACTCCCTAACCAGACAAAAACAGGTCCACAATGGCTGACGACCAGAGACCGCGAAGACCAAAGACCAGAGCAGTGTGCGGCCACCAGCTGGAGCCCTGATCAACAAGCCTCAGGGTGCTTTTTGTGGTACATTGCCTTCAAGTGACCTTCGGGTTGAACGTCGATCGCGGGCCCTCGTTACCTACTATTACACTGACGATGCTTCGGAACTTGGATTCCTGCTTTGCCGGTGCTCGTTTGAGATTCTTTGTGTGCACAAAACGTAATGCGAAGTGCAAAATGGAGTGGCTTCACGAGCTTACTCGGCACAGCTTCTTGCTGGCAAAACTGCTTTAAAGATCAAAAACGAGGGTGCCCTCACCAAAAAACGACTGCTTCTTGAGTGGGGCTGACGCTGTACCACCTCCCGAGCGGTCGTGGTTGCAACAATGAAATGGAACCTCGCAGTCCCAGCCCGAGATATCCAATCCGGTGAGGCTCCCCAGGCCACCCGCACCAAATTCGCATCAGACTGTCACCTTTGGAGCCCGCCGAGGCCGCCGTGGGGACACGGAAACGCATGGGTTTGTTTCAGGAACAACACGGACTACATGAAGGCACTCGATGACAAGTGTGTCCTTGAACATGTTGGTCACGATTTAGGGTTCTTCGAAACATTACGACACGTAAGCGGAGGGATGAGGTTGCTGAGGCTGCGAGGCAGCTTTTTAGGTGTGCATGTCGGTTCTGGTGCTACGGCTGGTCTGTCTTAAGAATCCGAGCAGAAGACGCAAAATCTGTCCCAAGAGTCTTGAGATAACGCTTTGACGAATGTGCGTCAGTTGCCCGCTCGGCTATTGGGGAAGGAACGTCTGCGTCACCAGGACTTCGCTATGTGAGCAGACGAACATGAGACAGTTGCATTGCTCCCCCAACATCTTCTGTCCCACTCAGCCCTGCGGGCAGATCATCCGACCAGGGACAATCCGATGTTTGCCTTCTTCGGGCAGAGCTTTTGGGGCGAGGAGGGGGTTGCAGTTTGGGCTGATGCCGCCTCTCCTGCCTGCTCGTCCCGCAGTTGATGAATCATGTGTCCCATGGGGCCGAGTCAGCAGAAATCACACGGGACATATGGTAAGATAACATGCACCTGTACACATGCATGTTGATCCAAGGATCTTGCTGTGCTCTTAGGGTTCTGCTTGAGTTAGTAATAAGCACGGCTGAACAGGTTCTAGCGGCATCTTTGGGCTAGCAGCCGTATAGCTCAAGAGCCTGAAGCTAGCTCGCGTTGGGTTAGGTTTTCTTCCGTCCAGGGCATTTCATACATTTCACCTTCGCCTGTGAGGCCATATCTTTGCAAGCAGAGGCGTGAGCTTCGTATCCTCCAGGAGTTAGCGAAGCTATTGCCCAACTTAAGCACCAAAGGTCGCGATATGAGGGCCAATGGCGGGAATTGGGTCTTCGACGACTTGAGCCAGCTTCGCGCAGGGTCACTGCTGAAAGGTTTGTAGGCAAGCTTGCCCGAATGTGTGACACGATCCAATCCCTGAGGCAAGCAAGAGCTTCAGCACATTACCGCCTGACAAGCCAGCGTGTTTTCAAGGTTGGGAGGGCCGATGACCGGCCTGTGGAGTCACGCGCAGGAGGCCCAAGGCTGGCTGGACTTCGACCCGGAGTGGATGACACATCGGGTGAATACGTTCACGAATTTCCCGTTGTCCAAGAGAAACCTGAGATTCGGCCCGGGCCGCTGGAGACGCGACTTCAGCAGCTGCATTCCTCAGGGCTACACCAAGCAATGGTCTGACTCGTTGCGACCAATGTCTGAGTCAGCGAAAGAGAGGGTTTGGATGTATATTTCTTCAGATTGTGCTTACAACTGGTGTGCACTCATAGGTGACATGGTAACTTTGCGGTTCGTGCTGGAAGGATATCGTCATGTATGAGCGTGCGAGTTCTGAATGCAGCGTTGTCTAACACATGTGACCAGCATTTTTCCTACACTACAGCCCACGTTTCACATGTTAGGTTTGTGTATCTGTCGAGAACCCCTCACCGAGTTCCATGTCACCTGTGACGGTTGGGTCCGACTTTGGCTGTGCTTTCCTTCCTGAAAGTTGTAGGTGCGCGAGGGGACCGAGGGGACCGACTTGGTTCTCCTCATGCATGCAGGCTTGCTTTTGTAGGCCGTACCCATGTGCAGACGGAAAAGAACCCCTCACACAAGAAAACGTTGTGGGCGAGATTGTGCGCCGTAAACCCAAGGAGCTGATAAGTGGTCCACCTAAAATCTGACATGGGTGGGCAGCTTCTGAGGTATTCAAAGCATAGGCATAGTAGGGTTGCTCGTGTAACGGTTTTAGGCCTTTGATCGTGTACGTCATGACATGATGCATAACGAATTGGCTTATACACAATTTGCTCGACATACATGCGACACGAGAATTAGAACGTAAACAAAGCAACGTAAAAAGGAGTTCGTGTTTTGGAGAAAAGCAAACTTACACAACTCGGCTGTAAACCAGCGGGAGGTGACGTGAAGCAAGGGTTGGTTACCATGTATATGTATACGTATATGCTAATGTATACGTATATATCTAAAACGCCTGCGGCGGAACAACGGTCGCTCCCAAGTTAGGTTGAGGACGCGTTACTCGTTTACGGGCAACGTCAGGACGGTGCTACATGCTTCTCCTTGCAGTAACGCGCCTTTTTCGTTTTGCCCAGCGACAAGACCACAAGCGGAAGAAAGCCCTGTTTGTGTAGCCCTCCAAACGCTCATGATCTGGCTCTTCGAAGGCCAGAAACACCACCAACGCGTGCTGCTCGCAAGGCACGAACCCCTGCATTTTTACAGGGGTTTCGTGCCCTGCGAGCAGCATTTTTACACCGTCCCGGGAGCCTGTGGCGCCAATACGGAATGTGGACTGGAAGAGCTGTCGTTGCAGCAACGCGAGATTAAACCCCAGACAGAAGAGAAATCCTAAATCATTCTTAGATACTAACTACCGCGTGTTGCATTCATGAAGAGACAAAAAGCAATACCAACCTGGGAGCCGAGGGTTCTTCTAAACCTCTTCGACTACTCCTTTTGTGTTTGACTAACGCACACTTTCTTTTTTGTATAGATTTGCCATATCTTTTTGCGCTTCACGACTCTGCTTACTTGACAGCCAAGCCATGTTCTACGTTCAGTGCTGACACAAATGTGTACTTTCGATGTCTAACAACAGCGAGAGGCTCCGAGACTATGCTCATCTAACTTGTGACGTTAACGCAACACATATCACTGTCATGAAATGTTACTTGGCTCTGACTGGACTATGAAGTTTACGGTACGTGATGATTGAAATTCGGCACATTCGATTAAATATCCGTGAGTTATGTGCCTGAGTAGCAAACCAGCACCTATTGTAAATTAGTCGCTTGAGTACTTGCTTGTGTGCCACTGTCTATGAGCAACATGCTCATAAACGAAATTTGGGATAAACAAACATGAAATGTTGGACAAGCTGCTCGTGAACACCAATAGCTAGACACTTATTAGGCGAATACTGATCTACTCTTGTTTAACCAGTAACTAGATATATTTGCATAAATCAACATTGAACATCAAGCAGGTGTCGGCCGTATGACAAAACATGTATTACTAAGTTACTCAATCAGCCATTAATCTATGATGGTTATAAACCGGCTACATGGTCTTATAGACATTCACAGCTAAGCAAATGTTGGTCAATATCACACTCTAAGTATAGTCAGAGCAGCTCAAGCACGCCTTGAGCGCCATACTGGTATTCAATGAGTATTAAACTACCAAAGTTCACAGTCTCCAAGTTGGCCTGGGCCAAGACCCAGTCTCAAAGAGCAAAACTCTCAACCCAAGAAATGCACAGGAATCTAAAAGCATTTCCTGAATACATGTGCGAGAGAGAAGACAGTTTGGCCACATATTGTGGGAATGCAGCGAAATCCAAGAATTCCAAAAAAAACCTGAAGAGAAGTTTGGAATTCCGAACTGGCGAAGCTCAAGAAAATCCAGAGACATGCGAAACCAAGTTTTGGGATTTTTGAATAATCACAAGAACTGCAAAACCTCTTCTCAGGCTGTTTTGGTTTTTTGTACGTTTTGGATTGTTTTCCTTCTGTGGAGGTTTTTATGTTTCGGAAACTCGGAATTACAAGAATTGCAAACATCTCCTCAGACTTTTTGGGTTTTTTGTAATTGCTGGATCGTTTAGAACTGTTGGACACTTTGGAGATTCGGAATTTCAGAATGTCAAAAATCGCAAAACATCTCCTCCGACTTCTTATTGCGTTTCTGCAGTTTTTTGGATCGTTGAAAACTGTTGGATGCTCCGGAGTTGTGGAACTTCGGAAATCCAAAAACTGCAAAACTTCTCCTCAGACGTTTTTGATGTTTGTAATCTTTGGATTGTTCAAAGCTTTTGGAAGTTTTACAGTTCCGCAATGTCGGAATTTCAAAGATTGTTTACTGGTTTTGGAAGTTTTGGAATTTCGGAATTTCTAAATTCCAAGCATGACAAGAAGTTTTGGAGTTTCGGAATTTCGGAATTCCAAACACGCAAAGCGTCTCCTCAGACTTTTTCTTTGGATTGTTTAAACTTCTCGGAAGGTTTGGAGTTTCGGAATTCCGCAATTCCAAAAATTGCAAAACCTCTCCTCAGTCATGTTCCAAGTGTGTCATTTTTGGATTGCTTGGAATTGTTGGAATTACCTCGGAATTTAGGATTTCCAAGCATGACAAAACTTATCCCCAGACTTTCTGGATTCATTGGAATCTTTGGATTGTTTAGAACCGTTGTAATTTGTGGAGTTTCGGAATTCCAAGAATGACACAACTTCCCCTCAGACATTTTGGACTTTTTTGTGATCTTTGGATTGTTTACACTTTTTGGAAGTTTTGGAGTTTCGGACTTCCGGAATCCCAAAAATTGCAAGTCTCCTCCTCAGACATTTTTCAAGCTTTGCCATTTTTGTATTGTTTAGAAGTGTTGGAAATTTCGGAGCTTCTGGATTTCGGAAATACCAATCCTCCGACTTTGAATGTTTAGGAAGTGTTGGAAGGCTTGTAATCGTCCGATGTCATGTGAGAGACTGGTCCTGCGAGGGTTTAGCATGGAAGTGTATGCATGTGTATATGTATGTGTTTATTTGCGGAGAGAGAGAGAGAGAGTGTGTGTGTGTATATATATATATATGCACATACAACCTGATATATCTTGAGATCCGAGATACGCGTAAACCTCGAGAGATATGTTTTCGACAGACAAACATACACGTACCTCCAGATTTACACATGCACACATACTTAAAAAAATACACTGGTCCGCACGCAGGTATGCATAAGGATCATAGAACATAGATAGAAGGCAATGCAATATGACCTGTGTGGCATTCTGTGTTAGAACCTAGAACCTTGATATGGGGGTTTCCGGTGTTAGGGGACCTTTCTTTCTAAAGTTTTCTAAACAGTAGGATCCTTATCATAATGACCCAAAAAAATGGTACCGCTAATTTTCGGAAACTCCCATATAGCTGCGAGCGTCGTGAATGATAGGGAAGACTTGGCTGCATCTTCCTTGCCTTGTCTGTCCTGAGCGTGGATTTAAACTTCGATATCTCAGAGACTCATAAGCCCGGTCAGGCCTTGCTTCAAACTCAAAGGGCTCTGGCTCCCTCCCTCCCGAGGCCAAGGACCCCTTTGACCACACTGCCCCTCCTTCTCACCATCTGCTCCACGACATCCGCTTTCTTGGTTCACTTACAGTAACTACTTCGATCGAGATTAGTTCGCCCTGGTTGTGACATTTCTGTGCGGTGGATTTGACTCCAGAAAACACGTATAGAAGTCAATGTTCTTCGAATACAACAAACTGGTGCCTCCAGGGCGGCTTTATGAAAATGAAACAGACTGCTTGACGCACCATCCCCCAAGTCCTTGCCAATTTCCACGGTCTGTCACTGCAACATCACTTGTGTTTTGTCAAGATGTCAAGTCACACTAAAGCTTTCCAGGCCCAAATCAGGCTTAACTCATCCGAGAGGAGGACGGCACACCAATGGACCAAGGCTCCATACACTCGGCTTGAGAATCATTTCCCCCTCCCGATCCGCCTCAAAGAGAAGTTCTCCTGCAGCTCGAGTGGATGTCTTGGACCGGTACAGTGGGGGTCGTCGCACTCTTTGCACGGTATCTTCCTGCATGCATGTTCTGTTGGAAGCACTACGAAAGAAATCTCTTGCTGATCGGGCCTTTCGTGTCCGCCTCGCTGCATGGGAGTGCAGCAGCCTGCTTTGCGTCCATCTTAGGTGCACAATGACGTGCTCGTCCAACTCGCAGTAGCTCGGGTGCAGGCACGAAGCTAGAAAGGAGTGACAAGGTGCCACCAGTGGCTAGGAAAACAGCACCTGGCGACCACAATATGACGCTCCAGACCCCTTCTACCTGATTCAAAGCTTCATTGCCATGTGACTGCTGGGCTTTTGGCATGGTCCAAGCTGCAGTTGGAAATCTGCAGGCCAAATCAATACCGAGCCGTCCTTGATGCAAATGCACGAGCCACATCGAGCCAAGACAGGCTGGTGCAGCTTGCCAGAAGTCTCGCACAGTTTGGGCAAAGATGAACTCCGCGGTGAGTAGGTGAAGCCTTCCGGGAACACTTGATGCGACAGGAACGAGAATGTCCAATAGCTTGCCCTGCTCTCATCACATCGAGCGAGACTCCTTTCAAATCAAAGAGCACATTCTAGGAGATCTGTGATGTTCAGTGATTTTCAGCCGTTTACGAGTACGATTCATTCGGCACCCCACTCGTCTCGAGGTTCACTTGTTCTGGCGAACACACGCGCACAAGATTCAAGATACCAAAACGACTTACGGCGACTCCGGCCTTCGTGGTGCTCTGGGCGAGGCAGGACATTGTTGAATCAAGTCTAGCATGTTGCCGACAACTTCCGACAACCAAGCGATGCGCAGAAGAAACCCCTGCTGCAACATCACGTGGCAGGCTGTGCAGGTTTGAGAACCCTGTTGCAAGACCTTCGGCCAAGTTTTGGCCTGTTTCTCCACCTCGCCACATCGAGCCATGGGATGCTTTCGGGTTTGAGCCATTTGTTTAGTCTACTGTTTCTGGGGTATTTAATGCTCTGTGTGGTGGTCCCTTGCGGCTGAGGCAAACGCCTTGGTCGACTCGAGTTTTCATGTTCCGCACACGATGTCGAAGAACCACAAGTTCAGAAACTCGATTGAGACTTGTGCTCCTTTGCGACATGAACACGGCCCGGTAGCACAGCAAAGACTGAGCGAGCGACGTCGGAAAGACCATAAATGACTCAAACGGACTGCTTGGACCACTCCTGCAAAAAGGAACATGAATACGAGGACGAAAGTGTGACGAACTTGCTTTTGCGCGGGCGCTCGACAAACATGCCGGATGCTCACGACCAAGTGAAACACTGCGTGCAGATGCTCACATGGTCCCGCGCATACTACTGTGCCCCCTTCCTTCTTTGCAACCTGCCGTCATGACCGAATTCTTTGGGATGCGGCATCATGCGGCCTGTTGTGGAATTGTGAGAGGAAGCAGACCTCGGGGTGAGATCTTGGGGACTCGGCGACTCAACGAAAACTCCGAGGAGTGCACAAAAGCAGCCAATGAGGCAGCCTCAGATCGCGCTTCGCCCTCTTCGCTCTCTTCGCTCTCTTTGCTCTCCGATCTGACCAGAATCAACACGTCACAAGCACCACAGGAGTCTAGGGTGTTTCAGGGTTCCAAGCTCTGACAGGTTCAGAGTTTCGGAGTTTTGTCCGATGGCTGCCGACGGCTTGACATGAAATCACAGGAACCGAACTGAAATCTCGAACCGGAATCGATTTTGGAAGAACCGCTGTAAGGGAAGCCAGGCATGTGGAGGAGTCCGTTGTTCGATGTCCTTCTTGCGGGAGCCGCATGGGGTTCAAGGATTTTTCGGCTGTTTTGTAGCATTACAAGATGACCAACATCGATGCGGCATCCAGACTACAGCAGCCCCAAACCCTCAACATTCCACAATGCCAACAGTCTTGGAACGGCCAACGGGTTATTTCATTCAAGCACTCGATGATGCGACCCACATGTACAGATATGTACAGCACACACCACTCGATTCAGCCACATCTCAGCTGCAAAGGGACAGATTCAACAGAGGCTTCCGCAAAGCACTCTGCCAAAGATTTCTGGCCTTCAGCTTCTGTGCGGGCTGCCTCCACCGAAGGCCGGGGCCAGTCCATGGCTCAATCCCTTCCAGATGAAAACTTCGAGCCCCCCGGGCTACCCGGTTGCGTCGCCCACATTCGCGCGCTGCGTTGCATTCTCACCGCTGGCAGCGTGAACAACACAATAAAACTAACAAAAGGATACGAGCTCAGGCCGACCCGTTTGACACACGAACGCCTGTAACATGTGTATTGCACATCGGCTCCTAGATTCCATATGTGAAGCAGTTTTCAGCTCAAACAGCGATTTAACATGCGGGCGAAAAAGCCCAAGCAACATGCCGCAGCATTCACTTCCAGGACCTGAAACCCAAATTCCTCCCGGGACCCCGGCTGCAGCACCCAGCTCAAGCAGCGCAGCGAAATGAAATATTGCCTGTCAGCTGGACACTGAAATTCAATCTTTGTCCTGGCTTAAGGCAGGCCTTCGGGGGGCTGCCAGGATTTCCTCTGACCATAGTCATCCAAGCACAAGCCTGGAGCCAGAGCCAAGTGCTGCGATGCCACTCACAGGAAACGAAGTCGGCGACAACAGCCGCCTGAGTAAGAAGGCCTGCAAACCTGCCATGGACTGCAAAATCTGACCATGAATTGCGCCCACCTCCGTACCGAAATCTAAACGGCCAGTCCATCTGTAGAGTTGCAGCCACATTCCCTCGCTTCTCCACAGCATCTGCCTTCAACACAAGCGGCATACGCGGCTGGGGATGTTCAACTTTACTTTCGAATCCTGGTACGGTTAGTCTTTAGTCTTAGATCTTCCAGCTGATAGAAACTTTCCAAACCAACCTGCAATCTTGATGCTCAGCCCTTCCCGAATAAAGCGAAGGTACAGCTGATGCTGCATATCGTATACCCTGAGTATCACTACCGGGAATGTCAGCTAGCCAGAGGCCTCCTGACAAACTCAGTGCAAAGTCGCAAGCTCTTAGCAAATAGCAAGCAACATGCCTACATGGGAGGTCAGTACTAGTCGGCGAGGACAAATATCAATCGCCCACATGCGGTACAGGTCTTCAAAGCCGCATTTCTCTGTTTTGACAAGCTACCACGAATGGCAACGTCGACTGCCAACTCCATGTTGTGTTGCGCTTTCGGTTCCTGCAAGGCCCATTTGCTCATTGAAGTCGGGTTGACTGCCGACAATCCCCGAGCCTGCGCAAGGTCAAGGCCAGCCACGCTGATGACTCTTGCTCGAGGAGGTCGTAATTCACCTCTGAGACACCACGAAAAACATCAACTTACGGCCTTGCGGTCCCACTAACAGCGCGACTCAGGCTGCGGACCGGCCTCCCGTGGACTGGGCTCGCCATGCAATTCCTGCGGACGGCTTCAGTAGCTATGAACAATTCGCTTCCGTTGAGCATCCTTTGCAGTGCCAGTGAGAAACGAAGACATGTGAACAACTCGACAACTTGCTCTACGTAGACGGCCGGCCCTTTTTGCCTTTGCGTCTTCTGTTACAAAACATTCGAGGAACAAACATGATTTCGTCGGGTCCTCTCGCCTTTATCCGTCTGTGGCTTGCAGGAACCAGAAACGGACCAGAAAATCTGTAATCCGACAACACAAAACCGTGCACGTACGTAGATCTGCTGAAGCTCATGTTTTCAGGTCGAGGTGTCATTTTGCTCATGTTTCCGCTGCATCAACATCATGTGTTGTCCCATAAGCTCATGACTCAGCTGGCTGTCCTGTCCAATTCCTTCAAGATTCCTATCAATCTGGCTGACTTTCCCTTGTTTTTCCGATGCTCGCGGCTCGCGAGGCTCATCATCCTCAGGCGTTTCCGAATGCAGCATCTAAGTCAGGTCATACTCGGCAATTCCACGTGCAGCCCCGTTTCACGAGGAGCAGCTTTGCTGAATCTTAATGCTTGGGGCTCGTTGGCCCCCCATCGTGGAGCGGACGTTACATGCCTTCTTGATGATGGCTCAAATCCAGCCCACTACATTCAGTGGACTTGTAGAACTTCGACATGACGGGACATGGATGGCACAGTGATTATTCGCACAGCACGGTTCGCTTGATTCTAGAGGGAACCACCCGTATTGAAACAGGAAGCGAAGCTTTGACTGCTGCAATGTTCCAGATCCGGTCGCGCGGAGGGGGTCCAGGTTTTTTTTGGTATGTTTTATAGCTTTATTTTGGTATGTTTTGTGGTTTTTTGTGCCTGGATTGTAGAAAACCCTGTAAGGGTCACGCGGAGGGGCCTGATTTTGGAATTGATTGATATTTTTTATGGTTTTCTGGGCCTGGATTGTCGAGAGAGAACTTGCGCCGTGTATGATGGATCCGGAACACTCGAAACTTTCAAGAAGAAGCATGTGATTGACGCAATTCCTTCTTGACGAAGAGTTATGTGATTGACGGAATTCTTCTTGACAGCAAGCCATGCACGGCATGAAAAGAAAGTGGGCGGTTGCGGTGCAAACCCAATGTACGTATGCATCACGTTCATATGGACTCTGTTTTTGCTGGCAAAATGATGTTTGAAGCGAGCTTGCGCGGTTTGACGAAACGGGACCCCCCCTCTTTGCCTATGATGGATCCGGAACACTTGAAAGTTTCAAGAAGAATTATACAACTTATTAAACGCCCCCCCCCCCCGGTTTGCAAACGCAATGCAAAAGAGGACCGGCGATTCATCACATTTTAAGCACACGCCCTCATTTGGCGATACCACATATCTTGGACACGCCCCCTGATTCGGCGATTCCGGTTCATCATATATCTTAAACACGCCCCCTCGTTTGGCGATCCCCTCATTCGGGGAAAACCATTCACCGCGGCCCAAACACAAAGCAGGGGGGAGGGGGTTGGGCCCCCAGGACGGGCTGTGAAACGTCTCATACATGTTAGGCGCTTGACTTGCTACCGCCAGTCGCCAATGGCCAGAAAGCGTTCTTGATGGCACGACGTTCGCTAAGGCAAGTTCACTACGGGGCTGAAGAAAGCGGGGGGGTTGGGGGGTCGCAGCCCCCCCATTTGCAAACGCACCTGCAAGCGGTAAGCACCCCCGTTATTTGTTAATTCCGGGTCAGCCTAGAGCTTAAACACACCACCCTGAATTGGCGATAACGGTTCAACATACATGATAAACGCGCCCCCTCATTTGGCGATAACGGCTCATGATACGTGTTAAACAACCCCGCTCATTTGGCGATTCCGGTTCAACATATATATATATATATATATATATATACATATATATATATATATATATATATACATCTGAAGCACACCCCTTATTTGGCAATTTCGCTTCAACATATACGTCTTTAACACTCCCTCATTCGGCGAAAACCGCTCACCATATATCTTAGCTTGCGTGGCCCAAACATGAAGCGAGGGGGGTTGGGCCCCTGGGACGGGATTTGAAAAGTCTCAGAATAGTTATGCGCTTGACTTGCTGCGACCATCGCAAATGGCCATAGCGTTCTTGATGATACGAAGTTCGCTAAAGAAAAACAGGGCTTGAGAAAGGGGCGGGGTCCGGGGGGCGGCGCAACCCCCCCCCTTTTGCAAACGCACTTGCAAGAGGACCGGCGGTTCATCACATGTTAAGCAAGCGCCCTCATTTGTCGATTCCGGTTCACCATAGATTATACAAAAACTCTTAGACACACCCCTTTCCGGTTCACCATGTATCTTTAATACGGCCCCTCAGTCGGCGATGACCGTTCACCATATATCTTAAACACGGCCCCTCTTTTGGTGATAACGGCTCATCATATCTTCAACACGCCCCCTCATTCGGCGATTCCGGTTCACCAGATATCTTTAACACGCGCCCGCATTCGGCGATAACCGTTCACACAATATCTTAAACACGCCCCCTCTTTTGGCGGTTCCGTTTCAACATATGTCTTTAACACGCCCCCTCTTTTGGTGATTCCGAGTCTCCGGTACCCCATGCTCACTGGTTGCAGGTGCAACGCCAGATCAACAGCCCGACTGACCAGAGGATTGACGGACTTACAGACTGATTGACGGAAGGCCAGACTGATTGACGGCTCGGTTGGCAGACGGACTGACTGGCTGACCGACTCACCGCTGGACGACCGACTGACTGACCGTGCGGTTGGCAGACGGACTGACTGACTGACTGACTGGCCGGGTGGCTGACTGACTGACCGCGCGGTTGGCTGACCGACTGACTGACTGCCTGGCTGGCTGGCTGACTGACTGACTCGCGTACCCACCCAACCGAAAACCATAAAAAATATACCCATAAAACCATGAAAATACCCAAAAAGAACCCCCAACCGCGCGGAGGGGTAGCAAGGTAGTGTCCATTTCCTGCATGCTAACATGCTTGGCTCTTAAACAGCAGGCTTTCACTTCAGCATCGTGCCCGTTTCCTTTGCGGGAACATGGAGGAACCGCCTAGCATTTCTAGACCCCCTTTGATCTTGGTATCAACCGCACTGCTATTACTGCTGTTTCGCGAGCTGCCAAGGTCTCTGCGAAATCTGATTTGGTTTGTGACGGCACACACGAGATTCACACGCACATTAGTTGATAAAACCTGAGTTTCCCCTGCACGCAGATGCAGCTTTGGCCATCATTCGCAGCCAGCAACTCTCAAACCAAAATAGCAACTAAACAGACGGCGAGTCTGTGATTCTCTACATGGGACTTGCCGGGCCAAATTGGCTCGGAGCTGGTCAAACTCTCCGAACATCAGCAGCACGTCCAGATAGTTTGGAGCAAGATCTTGTAATTGATCCATGCCGCTGAAACTTTAAAAGCGGTGATATTGAAATTAGATCCAATTCTGATCCGTTCAAATGTCACAGACACGGAATTCCCGAAGCTGGCCGGCAGGAGAACGGCATCCATTCTGGCATCCAATCCTCCAGTACCCAAGCCTCTGAATCGAAAGTGGATGCTGGGATTTTGTGCGCCTAAACCCCAAGCATGGTATCATAGCATCCATATGCTCCCCTCCCGAGAGATGAGCATTCTATGGCTCTATGGATATGTGGAGATGACGAACACGGCCAGTACGCTCGAAACCCTAAACCTAAACCCCTAAAATGATGAGTCCCACCAGCATGCGCGACATCTCCGCGAATCTAGAAACAAGAAGGCACTGCGAAGCAAAGGCCTGCTTCTTGCTGACCTCGATCTTGTCTCCATCCCAAACCGTGGCACCTCTCGCAAGGGAACTGCTTCGGCGTACCGCGACACCACGAATGCCGCGACCTTCGCCTCTGCAAAGGAGACGAACAGCTGGAGGCCCGCGACTGGCAAGCGCAAGCGGCTGCAAGTCGAGAGTCGAGTGTGGGCTGAGGGCAAAAACTGGACCAAGCTGGCGCACACGAGGTGGTAGAGCGGCAGGCTCGGAATCCGCAGAGGCAAAGGCACCTATGGACAATAGGCGGATATAGCGAAACACCGTACGGCGCCTCTGAGAGGTCTGACGCTTAGCCTGCTTCCATGGCAGGGAGGGATCAGGCAAGAAGCGGACCTGCAAGCTGCCTTGCCTCGAAGGCCCAGCTCTCTCTGACACCGAGAAGCAAACCGTGCAAGCGCCGTGCCACAAGCTGTATTCAGCCGCTAGATGGTGTCGCGCACGAGGAGGTGATGCGCTAACCTCGGAAAGAACGCATCGAAAGGAGAAAAAATCGAAAGGAAAGCCTCAGCATATCTCAGCATGCCTCAGCCAGCCGCTCGGCTCCAAGAAGAAGGAGAGAGGAGTGCAGTCAGCAAGGACAAGCAAGCCTAGAACGGTCCCACATGTGCTGCCACTGCAGATTCCTGCACACACTGCTACAACAATCTCAGGGCTTTGCGGCAGCACTCAAAAACCCAGTCACGACAGCAGTGGCCTCGCTGTAACACTGCTCGCGAAAATGCTAGCTGCAACCCTTGCCATCTATCGCACCTGCACCTGCATCTCGCATCGATGCCCATTGCTTGCCGCATATATTTTCTTGTTAGACACAGCAGGTAAAGCCGGAGAATCTCTCGGGTGCCATCTTGCTGTCCCAATGTGGATTGCAAGTACTTGCGCATCGGTGTCTGTCTTCCCCTTCCCGGCTCAGACTCGGAAACGGCTCACTCACCGTGCTTGAGACATGAAACACGAAAGCGTGCTGCCGACCGCCAATAAGCAAGATCAGCCTTCCAGTGCTCATTCTGGCAGTCTCGGCTGCAATACATCTCGACCTCAATCCAGTCAGAAAATACCACTTCGACGCCCTCGCATTGGTCAGCATGTTTTGAGCTGTAATCGCGACTGGGTGCCAGTGCCCAACCAAAACGGATGTTCGCAACTTTTTGAAGCAGCCAAAGCCGCGCAGCCATCTTTGCAGTTTATACCGGCTGCTGGTGCAGTCGATGATTTTACCGCTTGGCCTGCAAAAGCGAACCACAGCGTCTACTCAACCCCTCACCGGATAAAAACTCTGCCTCCACGTCCATCTTATCACTGCTGGTGTCGCACAGCAGCGGCTGGGCCTCCTTCGCGAAACGCGCCCTCGATGGCAGATGCTGTCAGTGCCGCTACCTTCGCCTCGCCACGGGGCGGGGTTCTCGGAGCTCCTTGGAAGCGGTCGCTTTGGACATGCCCAGGAAGCCTTGGAAGCAACAGCGGCAAAGACGCTTTCGGAGACGCAAGTTTGCCCGGCAGGAGACTTTTGTAGAAAAGTGTGGCAAAGACCAGGACGATCCCGGCCAGCTGCCACGAAGTCATTGTGTGCGCATAAGTTATGTAGGACCTTCGATCAACTTGGACAGATAAATTGTCAGCAATTGCGGGCAGCAATATGCAAAAACGGAAACGACACATACACACATACACACATACACACATACACACATACACACATACACACATACATACATACATACATACATACATACATACATAGTGCTCACCCCCCGGGCGACAGACCATGGCGAAGAAAAGTAAACATGGCTAATTCAATCACGCTTCAGGGGAGTGTGCTTTCATCGGGTTGAAAATTTCTATTTGTATCTCGAGCCTGTAGTTGTGTCAATAGTTTATTCAACCTTGGTTTGTTTCAGACCCGCAGCTTCGTACAATTAGAAAAACCGAATTCAACCACAATGGAACATAAGTCAACTATCCATCCTTATGCGCGATGATGATTGCCAAACAATCTTTGATAAACTTCTCCGTTTCGTCCTGCACAGACATATGTAACAAGCTTTGCATGAAGACGTTACTATGGGAAGACCAGCTCACTGATTGCTTTCGTCTGGTTATTTCAACACACGTCCTTCTTAACTTCCTACGATTGAGGACTCAGATATGCGAAGATTCGAACCGATCGAAGATTGCTAAGTCACGCCTGTCCTGTCCATATGAAGCAGTATTCCGAGAACACCAACAAACCCTATATCTCTCTCAGAAGCATAAAGCAAGTCCACGTTCGGGGCCGCCTGTCGGCAATTCGCCAAACGTCGGAGAACGCCTATGCAATAAGAAACCAGAAAGTTAAGAGCAACCAACTTCAACCACACTGTGGGTGGAGACACACGAAAACGGTAGTAGACGCAGGAAAATTGAGCAAATGCGGACGAGTATTTGCCCTTTTCGGGCGCCTAACGAGGCTTCCAACTTGTGGCGGGGATTCCTTCCCGAAGCACTGCAAGATTCGTGACCGCTCATCAGAATCTCAGTACTGGAGAACGATGCAGCAGAAAGGAGCAATGCCTTGTTGAAAGTGGGCTTGGTCTCCCGGCTCGCCGCTGGCGGCTCAACCCTTCCATTGGAGACAAAGTAGAATGCGAATTCCCGCAAAAAGAGAACGAAAGCAACCAAGCAAGATATAGCCTTCCAGGTTTGAAAAGGAGCCACGCCCTAAGCTCCAAGTTGGAGAAACCCATGTTAGCAGTGGAGCATGGTGGCCAAAACGGCAACCTGCGTGCAGCCAAACTGTTCTTATCATGGTCACTTTGTGGGCCTGCAGGTTGGAGATGCTTGTCAAAAGCAGCCAAAGGTATACCGTCTGGAGACGCGCAATTGATGTGTAAATCGTCGACATACGCGCTTGGCATTTTGGTAGGTGCGCCCTAAAACTCCAGCGAATGAGAAAACATGCATAGCAAAGGAGCAGCTGGCATAGTGACCTCGCAAAACCAGCCTGCAGAGAATGAGGTAGTCCCCCACAAGGTAGATATTGGCAATCTGGTGAAGGATGGTGTCAGTCATGTGGTTCTCTCTCTCAGTCGCGCAGAGCAAGTCCACAAGTGAGACTACTCGCCAGCAGCCATTTCAGCTGTGCAAAGTGAAACCTTCAACTGGGGCCCAAGCTTTCCTATTTTAAACTCTGGCTGAAAGGTCCGCCAAAGGTCTGTATTCTGCGTTGGTAATGGCAGTCCAGCTGCATTCAACAGCAGTACAACTGAAAAGCCATGCGGCAGTAACGAGGGGTGGGGGGAATGGACTATACCTGCTCGGAGGCCCAAATATGCCGGCTTTAGGTATCCACTTCGTAAGTCAAATATGTAAGATGTCGACGTATGTGTGCTTTGTCTTTGCATGGGGGGGTCTTTCAACGATATGGTGAACAAGCCGCACAAAGAATTGCCCTTAGAAGCCACCCTGAATTTCACACGACTAAAATTCAAAGGCTACATTCCAGCAGAATCCTCGTCTTGTTGATATCGCAACGTTCGTGCGCGCTACCATCCGCAAGATGAGCACGATTGCCGGTCCGAACCGTCCCGAACCGTTACAGATCACTACTCCCAAAGTCAGGCAAGGACTGAATAGACTGCTAGAAACTGCCCAAAAGTGGTAGTCCATTTCGTGACGGTCGCTCCACTTCCCACAGGCAGGCAAGGACCGAATAAATTACCAAATGCTACCAGAAACTGCCCTAAAGTCGATTCGCCACGGTCGCTCCCGTTTGCGCCACGGTCGCCCCCTTCCCACAGCCAAGCAAGGCCGAATAGACTACCAAAAGTAGTAGCCGATTTCGCCACGGTCGCTCCCCCTCCCACCAGAAACTGCCCAAAACTGGTCTATTTCGCCACCGTGGCTGGCTCTTCTTTTCGCCATGTCGCTCCCCTTCCCTTCCCACAGACAAGCAAGGAGCAAATAGACTACCTGAAATTGCCCGTCTATTTCGCCACGGTCCTCCCCCCTCCTACAGCCAGGCAAGGACCGAATATCCTGACAAATCTACGGCACTGCTTGACTGGTGCTTGCACGGAACTGACATGGTTCAGCAGCTTGCTTGTCTCCAACTGTCGCGTTTTCATGATTGTATAGCTTTAACACGTGCTAACGGTAAAGAGCTCTGGTCAGCACAATAACAGAAATCCACAACACAATTGCAGCATGCACGAACGGAAACCGATTATCATGTGCTAGGTGTAACATGTTTCCAACGATTCTACACAAAAGACAACACCTCGTTGGACCAACGACAGAAAGGACTTGACTTACTGTAGCTCATGCACAGACTTCAGTTGAACTAAACTCAGAACAAGCATGTAAAGGTTTTCTGGTATAGGGACACGATATCAAGAACCAACCTGCCGAATACGAACTTTAACCAGCAGCCACATCTCTAATTATCTTTGATGTTCAACAACATCGATCCTCCAGCTTCGATGCATTACCGGACTGGTCCATCATTCTGGTAAAGCACAAGTGGAATGTTCAAGGACTTAGAGCTGGTAGTTACATACTGGCCAGACTGCGAAAAAGCATAGGACACAACAATTGATGCATGTACCTGATAGTGCTTGGCTGGCCTGAAAGAATCGATGCATCGATTACCCAAAGCTAGTCGCACAGGAGTGATTCACCCAGGTCAATGTATTTAGGAACAGACAAGAAATGAGGAGGTCCTGAGTGTTCATGGGTTAGAAGTAACTCAAAACGGCAACTTTAAGCAGAGTAACAGGGACATTGGTACTAGCAACAGTAACATTGGTGAATGTAATGTCAGAACCCCACTGACTACACTTGATACGATAACTTGCACATAGCAGAATGCATTCATAATTTAGTTCTGACTGAGAAAGGAAGTGGGGATAGGAGCAGCTCGTAGTTCCAGTACACATACCGATACCTGTAGCTGTAGGGCACGAATTGCTGTGAATAGCTGCTCTTGCCGAAATCTGCTCCTTGTTGACACATACACGTAAAATAGTATCGCAATGGTGTTAAGATTACAGTCATACCGGCAGGTATGTGGCAACAATGTGGCTTGTTGTTGCATACACGACTGTATGACGTACTGAAGATGGGCCAACGAGAAGTTAATGGTAAAAGGCGGCGAAACAAATGAACAGTATTGGACGCGACGGTGCATAAAGAAGTGGAAGCTGAATAAAAGTGCCTGTTTTTGGAAACACGACAGCTGGGTAAACATAACAAATACTGACCTTGATAGAAAATCACCTGGATATAAAATCGACTTGAAACGACTGGGAATCACGGATGAATCAAATTCCTAGTAAGACAACGACATGGTTCAATTCAAACTATATGTTTGATTGACGCTTCTGCGAGGTCTGTCGCAGTTGTTACTCATGTGTGAGGCTTAGTAACCCCGGTTGCACATGCATATTAGGGTATGAGCAAACACAAGACCTGAGCGAAATATTTTGTTCTGAAAAGGCTACTGGTAGAACAAAAGTCAATCAAATGCTGTTTTCAAAAAACCTGTAGTGCAAACTGACATAAACCAATAGTTGAATCCCTCAGAACCGTATAGATGCTTTGGTAAAGGGTTTGAGGCTTAGGGCTTGGGTATGGGGATTTCCGGCAAGATCGCAGGCACGCAACACCGACGATGAAGGAAAAGACCAAGAAAGCAAACAAAGATCCGGAGAGACTGCCAGAACTGTTCGGTGTTTTGCATGTGTTGGGTTTTCTGGGTTTGGTTTTACAGGATTTTCTGACACATCTTGCACAGTGCCAACTCTCCATAGTATTGGACAATCAAGCAACGAAACAAAAAGAACATAACAGTTCCTGTATTATCCCTGGATATTCGGTTATATTTGGTTTTTGATCTCAGGCTGGGGGTTTGAAGCCACACGAATACACACCAACAACGACGCACAAATATCAATGTAGTTCCGGCGTTCTCTGCGGATCTTTGCTGCTTTTGTGGCTCATGTTGTCGTCGGTTGAGTGGTCAAAGCCAGCCGAAAGCAGGGCTTGAATCCCGAACCCACGAAAAAGGCCAGAATCGCCGGTGGGAGCGGGGTTTTACAGGGGGTGGCCTGTCATGGAGGGGGGTGACTAACACAAAACAAAATATGCATATATATGGTCACGCGCTCCGCGGCCCCCCCCCCTCCCTCCCCAAAGGTCAATGGTCCGGATATAGGGTGGGACCCCCCCTCCCCTGTGGTGTGGGGTGTGGGGTCCCTCTTCCCCCTGTGGGGTGGTTGTGGGGTTTTGGGGTTTAGGGTTTAGCTTAAGCTTTTGAGTGTTGGGTTTACGGTTACAAGGTATAACGCTTCGAGTCGACAAGGGCTTAGGGAGGACTTGCGGTGTATGTTCTGCTTTAGGCTTAGAGCCTGCAGTTAGGTGGGGTTTAGGGTTGGGTGTAGGGTTGGAAGTACAACTCAAGGTTACTCAAAACAAGGGCACGCGCTGCGTTATAGGGTTTACGGCTTGCTTGCGAAGGGCTTGCGTATGAGCCCTGGCCGCCAGCACCATCCCACCATCCAGTGACAGCTCCAACGGCTCCGACCCCTGTCCGCACACGCCAGCCCCCCCCCCCCCCCCACCCTAGCAGACCATACCAATACCATTGGGGGGGGGGGGGGGCTGGGAACGCCAGACGCCTGACCATATATATATATATATATATATATATTATGTGTATGTATATACACCTTTGTTCTCTCTCTCGTCCCAACTGCCAATGCCAAATGCGACAAACATCATGTGCTCGACATTCCGAGAATGTGAACTACGGCAATTCAATGCAGAAGCTTCCATACTGAGCTCAAAACAAGGCGATGGACACCACCTGAGACAGCAGAACCCACGCACACCGACAGGACTAGACAACCAGTATCCTTCCACCCATCCGGGCCTGGCGAATGTTCATGGTCAGCGCAAAGACCACAGCACCGAATTCGCGGATTTGTGAATAGATAAAGTATTGTGCCGCCACTGCCGACAAACTCAGGCAAGAAGCATCTCTGAGGAATGCCTCAAAACATGGGCAGCCAAGAACATCCGCAAACCTTCACATTAGAACCAATTGGCCTGAGGTTGTTCAGCAAAATGTCAGCTTACTGCGACACACGCGCGCACACACACACACACACAGCAACCACAAAACCGCAGCGGAATGATGGCAAAAGCGTGGCAAAGTTCAAGCACACGCAACCGCTGATAGCAGGTTCCTGTGGATTTCAATTATGAGCCCTCCACGTGCATCTCGAAGGGCACTGGGGCTTCTGAATGCACGATCCAGCTGATGCCGGGAAATAACTGATGCTTTCCGGTGCTCTGTCGCACAGCTTTGCAAGGTGCGGATAAACTGCTACACTGTAACCAAGATCTCGCATCGAAGAATGAAAACCTTTCTTGCATGAATGCGTTTCGCTGCAGAGTCGTCTCGTGGTTAGATTGCTCAGCAGGGATGCACTGCTTGAATAGCTTGAGTAAGCATCCCTCTGAAGGATTTCAGAGTCGGTCTTCGCCATCGTTGGGCTGCACCAGGTTTGATCCTGGACAGTGTTCTTCGTACCGTTAGGGTCCAGCTGTAGCCGTGGCTCTTCCTGGAATCCTGGAAAGTCGAGGACACTTTCAAGTGATCATTTGCACTGTGTAACCTGTATGTCGTGTGAAAGCTTGGCAACGGCGAAGTCAATCACTGGCTGCAGAGGTGGACATGTCAGCATATCCTTTGCCCCGGCAAGAGTCAAATCTCTTGATGAAAATTCTGTCGGAGCAGCATGTTGTTAACGCGCGACGCCATGACATTAAATAGCAATAGGAGATTGGCTTGACATTGCCCACATGCCCAAGGAATTTCAGGTCAGCAGCCGTTTGCGATGGCCATCACTGTCACTCGCCGCAGCGGGTAAGAGGTGCAAGAGCAACAGCAACAGTGACAGCAGAGGTCTGAGCCGAAGCACCGCGTGCCGCGAGAAGCCCAGGGCCGGCAGCAACTCACCGGAAAGGACCTCTGCGTCGGGAGCTCTCCGACTCTCCGCACCGCATGAAGCGCCGCATGTGCCGCATGAGTGCAGGGAAGCGCGGCGCCCCAGCGCCCTGAGGAGCTGAGGGCCGGCGCCAGCGCAGCAGCGGAAGTCGTGGAGGAGAGCAAATTCACGTACAAGATCTGGTTCCACTTGGAAGTCTCGTACTCCTTCGACACGCGGGTCCATGACCCTCATGCCAATCGGACTCGCAAACTCGCGCATAGTCGTCTTCGCGTCTCCTTGAAGAGCTTCTCCTCCATGACAGAGGTCAGACCATCGAAGGTCAAGAAACCAGAAAGAAGAACCAGGCCAGCCAGAGTACTGGACCCGGACCCCTCGGATTGCCAGACGAGGTCCGTCCACGACTTCAAATAAACGCTCGGCCAAGACTCATCGCGTGCGGAACCGGGCCCATGCGGTCCAGAGATCAAGAATATTGTGATGCCACCCGTGACAACGGCTGCAAGGAGCCAGTCGGTCAAGCTGTACCTCAGTTAACACAATACCTTGTGTAGATCGCTAATGTCTAGAGCATTCATCTCGCATCGACGAGTCGCCGCTTGCCACTCACCACCACTCCCCACATCATTACCGGGATTGTCTTGAAAGACTTTCCCAGCATCCTCAGCCACGGAGCACGTAGAACAACCTCATAAATCTCGCCATCCCCGTGCCGCCAGGCAGCTGGACAACGAAGGACACGTGCTTGAGGGCTTCATACTGGCAGGTGCTGGCAATCACGTTGCTCAGGGAAACGATCCTCGACGAGCACACGCAAAACGCACATCCGGTCCGCTGGTGCAGAAAAGTCTTAGCACATGCCATAAGGGCCAAGATTCAAATAGAAACGCAGCGGAGCCTTGTTGGCAAGGCTCTCCTGCAAGCGTCAACGGCACAAGTCCGATCTCAACATAGTATGTGCCAATGTCCTTGTGCATGCTGGCCAGGACACAAGCAAACACCACCGCCACCAATCGGTTGCACAAGACAAGGAAGACTGAGTGACGAAACCTCGATACACACCACAGAGCTCTCAACTGAATCTCACAGTCTCGATTTGCGTTTGCACCGCTGAACTCTTGACAGAAGGCATCTCGTCTTCATAGCTCACCGTCATGATTCGCTCCTGCATCGACACACAGCACAGGCCAGAATGGAAAACCGAAAGTCGCAGCAAGCACAGCACAGGCAGCGCAGCACGGCGGACGGGTCCTGCAGGATGCCGTAGACGGCAAGCATTCCCACGATGCCACATCTGCAAGGCAAACATCTGCAAGACTTCTCTGAACGAAATGAAACGGTCGACTAGGAAGAGGGCCCATAGAAAGCCAGCATAAACACATCTCGGCTTGGAGAGATTGTGTTTCTCACCCACTTCCATTGCAGGAGCATCTGACGGGACGGAAGAAGCGAAAGCTACATTGAGCCAGATTTGCTGGAAAGATACTTTGAAAGCCAAGAAGACCTCCATTGCAGCATTCCCTCCGACATTTTTGTGCTGTCGGGTCTCGGGCCGCTATACTCCCCCGCCTCAAAAGATATCCCATGGTCTCCCCCGCCCAGACCCGGCCCCGGCGCGCCCCCGACCCGTCCCAACATTCCCGCACAACCAGAACGGAGGGAGGACGATGGACCATGAAGAACCGCATTAGAGCAGGGACAGGGGCACCATTTACAGGGAGAAAGGGCAACATCAGATTTTCGAGTATGGTAAAGAGCACGTGACGATGACATTACTACGAAAAAGCCTTACCTCTGTAGAACACACTGCCCCGCACAGGCTCTGCGCCAAAAAGACCACAGGCCCCACCCCACAGGGGGGGAGGGGACAAGGCCAAGCAAGACCACCCAGGAAGACGGGGAAAGCAAAAAGGCCAAACAAGAAGACTACCCACTTGACAGGCAAGGGGGTGGATACCATGGAGCGGGGGGGAGGCGGGGTGCAGCAGCCCGGCATCATGTATGGGTCCCTGGAATCCTGTACAGTGTACACTCAACAAGAGCTTCGGGCTTTGCATGTCGAGCACCTCGACTCTGCCTGTCACAACACTCGTCAGGAAACAAGACCTGCTTAGAGATGCATAGAGACTTATAAAACGACATGCCACAGGCCTGGCGCCCACAATTTGCGCACGTGCCCTGCATGGTTCAGGCCTGCAGCAAAGTTGTGCTCGGCTTTGCCGGATGATGGTCAGGGCCCAGGCCGAGCGCAGAGAACGAGCATCCCTTGCAGCACCGTCGGCTGGGCGCCGTGATCCATTTGCAAACGTCTGCGGATCGAAACACACTTCTGTCATGGGCTGTCCTGCCATGCACTGAACGGAATCGTCCGAAGCGTGTTCAGAACGCGCTTTTGCGAACTGCGTCAAGCACACTCTGACACAGCATCGGCTAAAAGTTTGTGTCCCTGCAATAGCTACACAAGAAAGCTCGAAGAGCAAGTCATGGAAATGGCTTCAAGATGCTTCAAGACAATGCGGCCAGATGTGTCAAAATCGCCTACAACAAACTAAGTCACAAGTGGTTCTGATGCAGCGACAGTAGTCATTGCAGACTTTTCACAGAGGTCTCTGAAAGGACCGAAATATACACATGCACTGGAGACTCATTGGAAGCATGCAGCTCCTTTGCTACATACAATATGCACAGGAAATATCGCTGAGGGCACCCTCACTGCTAACAAAAATTCCTTGGACAGATCACACAACTTTGTTGCAATGCTAAACTCGCTGGGCCCAATAAGCCCCAGACTCGCTAGGATGCCTTCCAGCGACTAGCCTTCGGTTTGTCGCAAGATGCTGCGTGAGGCTTTGATTGACTTCTGACGAAGCCGACGTAGGACGCACCTTCCTTTGCAGCGCCTTCCACTCCGGCTGCGTCCGCTCGTCCCAGGCTGGGGCCCAGTGACCTTTGGACACACACACAAACGCCTCACGCGAGGTAGAATCGAGGCATCGGCCGTTGGAGTTCCAGGACCACTCTGACCACTCATCATTGTGACCATGGCCTGGATCAACCCAGCATCTTGTGGCTGGGAGACAAAACAACAGAACATCCAGGCGCCTTTGCTTGCCCTGCCTTTTCCTGGAGCAGGTCAGGAACGACGAAAACCTCTATGTTTGCCAGTGATGGGTCCTGCTTCACCCTTCGCTGGTGGCGGGTCTCCTCCCGCTCGCATGGCATCGAAATGGCTGCAACTGATCCTAGAGTCGCCTTTCATCATGGCTTTGCCACGTCGACCTTCGCCTGCCAGTTTGTATCTCCTCAGAAAGCAGATTTCTGGGGACGCTCGGCCTCCACCACGGCCCTTGGCCTGCTGCTCGGTAGCATACTGTATTTCGCTGCATCTGCAGAACAGACATCCGGCCTCTTTGCCCTTAGCTTGACCCTTGGATCTTTCTGGGTGGCCTGACGTGCTTGCTGCAACTTAACTTCTGTCTGCTCGAAACAACATCGGGTGCTGGCCAGCATCGTTGCCACCTGCTTACCCACAGCTTCAGAACACACTTGTTTCGCAAGCATGTCCCGAGGCCTGGGCCACCAGCAGCAGGTTCCTTCATGCCGAGAAATCAAAACATCCCGCACGCTCTGATCGACGCGCTCAACATGCCACAATTTGCCTGTTTTGGAGGCTGCCACTTCTCCCCGTCCCGGTCCAAGAGGTACACGATCCGGCCCTGAATTCGTCGACGCAGAAGTTGGCACGCAGCGCAAAACCTCACCCGGCCTCAAGCTTGAAGGTTCTTGGATTTGACCGCAGGAAAACCTCCAACGACATGCCAGTCTTCTCCTCCGCAATTGTGAGGGCACACCAGAAAGCCACTGCAACTGCTTGTGGGTCCTTGAAAGACTTCAAGGCTTTTGCCAATTGGTTCAAGCTGCAGCAGCCGTTGAGGCGCTTCAAGACGTAGGATATGTTGATCACCTTCCCAATCAGGAAGCAAACAGGAAACAAACAAGCACACACTCATGCAGGTAAGGCGACCAGTGCAGTTCTCGGCACATTGACGTCAAGGACCTTAGATATACCGAATGACACTTACCCCCACCAATCCACACGGTGTTGTTGCTATGCCCGCCTGAAAAGCTGAATTTTGCCGAAATGCATGCAGGAACTCCGTTTACCTGTGATGGCCTGTGCACACTACGTGGCACCATGTGGCCGTCGATATCATAAATATCGGCGGATCAGCCCGATCTGTGCGAAGAACACGACGTGTTGTTTATGTAGACGTTTCAGCAGAACTGCCAACTATCAAAGCATGGCATCTGCGAGACAAGCTTGCTTTTCCCGCAAAGCAACCCAATTTGATTTCACAGGTATAAAGCTGCTGATGCACTGTCATAACAAACTCGGAAGTGCTTTTGTATCTCAGTTCGCTTGCTCCATGATAATGTCCGAGTTTCCACACTCCTCCTGGTCGCCAACTCTTTCGATTGGAGACACCCGAAGGCTGTTCGCGGAATCGCGGGAACAATGCTCCAGTTGAATACTGCATGCAAGCCCTCCTCAACGACTGTTCATCCACAATTTGCGAAGTGCAAGCTCCTTCGAGTTGAAGCTACTCTTTCGCGCGTCCCGTAAATGTGTCCCGCCTGCTGCAGAAGTCGCACAAGCTGCAAAGTGTATAAAAAAATATTTTGGGGCAATGTCTGAGCTCTTCATAGCAGAGTAACCTGATGTCTTGGCGGGTCAGGCCAAGGCCTCCAACAAGCGAAACAAGAGCGAAGCGTCAGCAATCGCAGCCCGTTTTTGTTCGGCTGGCTGGAAATTGTGGAAGAGCTGCGACTGTGTCCGTTATGGTCTCGGTTCCTGGCACGCTGCCCCTCCAGTTGTCGTAATATTGAAACCCGCACGGCAACACTACGGAACCCAATTCTGGAGCCTGGTGTGGATGATGCACGCATGTACTCAAAATCCTGGGACGGCCAAGATCCTGTGCGTCACAGCATCGTCTTTCGACCTCCCCGACGTCAATGTCAAAACACGTGACCCTTCTTCATCTCGAAGTTTTTTGAGAATGCTTCGGTTCCCAAGTCAGGCGCACCAAGGGGCTCACTCATTTCACACAGCTCGCAAGCCTGTCTCGCCGAAGTCAAACACAATGCGAACGACCTCGACGTCCTATCGCTGAGCCCGGCCTGCTTTACCCCATACAGCCACGCCGCAGAGTTGACCACACTAGAGGAAGTGATCCCGGCACTTCCGCGATTTCCACAGCTCGCGTTAGGTCTGAGTCAGCCAACTCGGTTTGCAATGTACCCTTGCTGCAACTGCTTGATTCTTTGCACCAGCAAGTGAAGCAGCTGCATATCACCGTTCCAGGACATCTCGGTCGACATCAATGACAGCCTTCATGAGCAACCGCTGCTGGTGCCGGAATGAAACAGCATATCTTGATAATCAAAAAGATCATTCGCATCAGAAGCACCAGAAAATGCGCAATCGTGAGAATGCACCAGTCTCACTTCAAGGACGTTGAAAAATCAGTGCCTGAAAGGCTTCCTAATTTCATCGAAATCGGAGGGTTTGGGAGTGCCACGTGCGGTTCGAAGTCCTTTTTGTTCCGAAACGCTGTGTGTGTGTGTGTGTGTGTGTGTGTGTGTGTGTGTGTGTGTGTGTGTGTGTGTGTGTGTGTGTGTGTGTGTGTGTGTGTGTGTGTGTGTGTGTGTGTGTGTGTGTGTGTGTGTGTTGTTGTGTGTGTGTTTTTGTGTGTGTGTGTGTGTGTGTGTTGTTGTGTGTGTGTGTTTTTGTGTGTGTGTGTGTTGTTGTTGTTGTTGTTGTTGTTGTTGTTGTGTGTGTGTGTGTGTGTGTGTGTGTGTGTGTGTGTGTGTGTGTGTGTGTGTGTGTGTGTGTGTGTGTGTGTGTGTGTGAACCTCCCTAGCACATGGGAGCAGAGGGTCACTCCTACACTGTTTGCATTTTTTGCTTTTCAACTTAATCAGACATTGGACATTTACCAAATCAATTGTTGCAGGGGAGTGTGGCACTTGCGTCCTACCACACTCAACGAAGCTGTGGATGCAAGTGGGAAGCGGGACCTGATCAGTCCTGTGTACCTGCATGGCAGCCCCCTGCGGTGCCAAGATTAGTTTGAGGACAGGCCCCCTGTGGTGTCCAGATTAGACAACAACATACAACATACTCTCCTCTTCTCACTCTCTTGGCCGAATCAGTCAGTGTGACTAGCGTGGGTCGTTGAGACTCCAGAGCAACGGCTTTCCGTCATGGCGCCGTGGTGACCCTCCGGGGAGACCGGTGATGAACCGGGTGTTCAGCCTTCGTTCAGATCGTTCAGATTCTCCCGATGCTACTTTATCTCTCTCTCTCTGATGCTCGCATGTGCGTCTGACATGAGTGCAGGTGCGGTAATGGACGGCTAATGCGGTAA